AGAAAATGAATTTTGCTAGTTTGTGCATTGCTCCATGCGTGTTGTTGACTATTAGTCTTAGAGGATTCCCGTCCTTGTATTTCTTCTGTAGTCTTGCCTCATTTTTTCATCCATCTGTCAATTTTCCTATTATTATGCATTTCATATAGCATGTGCTTCAGTGTTCCGTTGATCTTCGTCGTTGTATCCTTTATTACTATTTGATAGGTATTCGGGTCCCCCTGTACTATTGCCTGTCTATTATCATCGTCGCATTTCACTTATCCGCCTCAATAACTACTTGGTTATTTCTTTTAATTTTCTACGTATGTTCATCAATACGCCCCTTTTCACTGGTTCTTAATGGGACAGAATTCTTAGGTATTAGTTTCATTTTCATCACACGTTTGGTCTCTTCTGGGAAATTTTCATAAATTTAAATAACTTCTACAAGGGTATCTTCTAAACGGTTCCTTTAGTTACCTATTGAAAAAGCTAATCCTTCTTAACGAGATCCAGAGTTTTGTAATAAAGAGGGATTGTGGACAGTTTTCTACTGTATCCATATCGTCGGTTCTAGCAGTTGATGCTTTCAATACAGAACCATCAAAATTTGCCCGGGCTGGCTTGGTCTTATGTTGTCTTATGTTACTATAGCAAAGAAATTATCTTGTCGTGCCGCTTATTATCAGATCCCGGACCCTCTGTGACTTCTGATCAGTCATACTCTGGAGTTTATGAAAATCATCCGGAGTGACAACCCTGCTTAGATCTTTCCTTATATAGATATGAATTTAAATAGCTTACGCCCCTTAGTCCCGTAACTTTCCCCTAATTTCTGAATGGAAGCGTCATAAAGTATTTTATTAACTTTTTCCGAAGGTCACTTCCTCATTAGGTTGCAAAATTCGGTAGCGAAACCTAAATAATTCAAAAGGTTCAAATGGCAGGATTGACTTACAATTGTATTTTTTATCCGACTGTATTCGATGCATTGTTTGGCAATCTTAATTTCATAGTTTAGTCAAAGATATGAAGACCAGGATGGTGTGGCCTTTTTTTGGTCGCGGTCTTTTTTCGCTGTATAGAACTTGTTTGACCTTCTTTTTGCAACTTAATCATATTGGCAGGAAGACTTAGAGGAACGCACCTTGTCCGGAGTCCATTGTATACATGATAATTTCGAGAGTCGGACTGTATACTTGGTACATTCCCAGACGTTTTGCCGGCATCGTCATTCAGCCTTGCATTTTTTAGCACCACACTACAAATTGTCCAAGAGACAAGTGAAGTCTATACTTTGACTAAATGTGTGCTTAACGGTTGAGATATTCCTTCGTTGGCCTGGGCTATTCATCTATCCTATATCCTCGTATCAACCATTCAATATTACAATTTCTTACTTGTTTATCTAGACCTATTTACGCTCTATTCACACTCTCCGCTGGTTTTCTTATTCCTTCTACTGTGCCAGGAGTGTTGATCCAAGGCTGGGGTTAATCCGCAATTCTCACTCTTCGGTTTCTATCAGAGTCCCGTCTTGCTCCCTTATATTTCTATCTCAGTGATTTCACTTCATCGCTGCCACCGTATCCGTGCTACTTTAAGGCGTTGTTCTACACTCTGCCTCAAGCCTTTGATAGCAAGTATACAACAGCCTTACTGAGCAAGCCCTTGAAGTCTGGGTTCTCATTTGGCATGATAACCTAACTTGACGCTGAATATTCCTTTACCGCTGTGTAGCATGTGCACCGAGTAAACATCGTGGTCAAACCTTTACTTCACGGAAAACGTCTAAGAGCATGCATATCTACTAATAGCCAACTATAAATGGCCACTACCGTTTTTCTTGTACTTCTATGACATTCAAGTGCGTGTAACCCCAAAATGTGATGGTTCTCCTTGATAAGTTTGTTCATAGACGTGGTCCATGAAGTCAAGGCTTGAACATGAGATTTACTTGGTGCACATGCCGCACAGCAATAAGGGAATATGCATCGTTAAATTAGATTGCGATGCCGAATAACAATCCAGACTTTTAGGGCTTGCTCACTAAGGCTGGTGTATGCCTGCTATCAAAGGCTTCAGGTAGAGTATTGAATAACGCCTTGAGTAGCACGGATACGGTGCCAGCGATTTGGTGGAATCACTGAAACAGGCAGATGAGGTAAGGATCCTACGTAGCAAGATGACTCTCTGACAGGAACTAAAGAGTGAGCATTTCGGATTAAACCCCAGCCTTGGATCAACACTCCTGGCACAGTGGGAGGAATGTGGAAACTAGCGGGGAATGTGAATAGAGTTCAAATAGGTCTAGATAAACAATTAAGAATTTGTGATATTGTAGAGTAGATACGATAATATAGGAAAGGTGAATAGTCCAGGACAGAAGGAATACGACAACCGTTTAGCACACATTAGGTAAAAGGATTGACTTCACTTGTATCATTGACTAGTTGTAAATGGTGCTACGAATAGTAAAACTCACTGACAATGCCGGCGAAACGTCTGGGATTGTACCAAGTATACGGTCCGACTCTAGAAACCATTATGCATACTATGGACACCGGAGAACTTGCGTTCCTCTAGGTCTTCCTGCCAATATGACAAAATTGCAAAAACGAAGTCAAAAAACTTCTTAACTCTTGTGGGCTTGGCTTTATTATTATAATTCAAATGGATAGAAGTATTGTGATTCGGAAGAACTAGCATTTATGATATATCATATAAAAACAGATAGGGATACTGAAAATCGTGGACTTGATTCATCTGGGAAATTCCAAAATTTATATTCTCACATTCTTGCAAAATGCATAGAGGGAAAAAATTATCATATTGCTAGACCATGAATATATCGAAGGTATGAAGGCCAAGATGGTGTGAGCTTCTGCATGGTCGCGGTCTTCTTTTCTTTTATAGAATTTGTTTGACCTTGTTTTCGCAATTTGATCATATTGGCAGGAAGACCTAAATGAAGGTACCTTTTTCGGAGTTCATAGTATACATGATAATTTCCAGAGTCGGACATCAGACTTAGTACATCCCCAGACGTTTTTCCGGCATCGTCATTGAGCCTTGTAATTCCTATCATCACACTACATTACGCCAAAGAAACGGCGAAACGTCTGGGAATGTACTATTTCGACGGTCAGACTCATATGGACTCAAGACAAGGTACTTTCTCTAAGTCTTCCTGCCAATATAACCTAATTTCGAAAACAAGGTTAAACAACTTCTATAAATTTTTCATCTTGTAGGACAACGTTTTTCTATTATTTTGCATTTATACATGAGTCAGGACCTCCTACAATTTTCTTCTAGAAGTACAACGAAATAGGAATGTAAATAAATAATATATTTGTTAATAAATGCTGTTCAACCTAATAATCTTTTGTGGCATTCCCTCTATTCTCTAGGTTACACAATAATTTCAGCTTGGTTTCAAGAAATGCTTAATGCTCTTTATCAGCCTAAAATAATCGATTTGTATTAAATTGCTATCAACTCGGAAAATATATAATTTTTAATACATTATAAGTATACTATTTACTAAAGAGGGTTATGCATTTGAAAAGATGAAAGCCCCCAGCTAATTGTGAATTTCGCTGTTGGTCGTAAATATCTTTATATATATCTGAAAATATTTTTACTTTTACCTTTTAACAGCTGAAACTCATGGTGATTTATTCCAGTTTTTTACTAAGTATAAATATTTTTTCTAACCCCAAATTAAGTGACTATTCATTTATCCATAATTAATCGACATATGTTTAAATAAACGCAACTTATAAGGAGTTTGCATTTACACAAATATTGAGTAAAATCATATTATTGTGGTAAAAATAAGCTATATATGAAATACAATTTTTTTGTATACCTCTTTCAATTATATGCCTTCAACCTGCCCTTGACACTATATTTATATTTAGCATTCTTGTATCCATATTGCAGCATACTATAATGTAATATTGATCCCAAAAATAA